GTAAAGGAAAAGGGGCTATTTATGCTGCCGGCAGCACTGGGGGCTTTCCTGAGCCACCCAACTGTGATTCTCATACAGGTTTATGTTAAACCTCAGTGTCTGTGGCTAAGTCCAGTTTGTTTTTTCCTGGTTCATTTCCAGGTGGTATTGCTGTATCCAGGCAGGATTTGACCTCTGCAGTGAATCATATAATCATGGAATCAGAGGGGTTTGGGTTGGAAGGGACCTTAAAGCTCATCTAGTCCACCCCTCCTGCCATGGGCAGGGACACCTTCCACTAGACCAGATTGCTCCAAGCCCCTTCCAACCTGGCCTTGAACACTGCCAGGGATGGGGCAGCCACATCTCCTCTGTGAAGATGAGAACTCCTCTGTCTGGAGCAAATGCTAGAGGGGACGGTGCCAGGCCAGGAGCTGGCATTGCTCACCTCAAAACTGATCAAGTCTGACCACTTAAGGACTCTGGCAATTGTTTGCGCCATCAGAAATCGCACGAGGAAACACACATGCAGAGATGCCCTGCTCTGGGCTGAGCCCTTTGCGGTGCTGTAGCTCTGTTGCTTTGCCTTTTGGATTGGAGTTGCTCGCACTTGGCAGGGAGTGCGAACAACTCAGATAAGGCTGGAGAGAAAGTGTGTCCCATCACATCTCTGTCTATCTGTAAATGAGGGTGTTCAGTCAGATTTTCTGCCAAAAACTAAAACTGACTGTGAGCTTTAATGTAGCCTATCTTGGGGAAATAGGAAACAACAGAAATGTATGTGGTCAGCATCTCACAAGTCTCCTTACTGTGTTATTTATTTAATGTGCAAAACCGGGCAGAGGGTATTGCATGGTTGTTTTGGGTTTTATTCTCTAAAAACCTTTCAAAATTGCAAGCATTCCCATGTTATCATTGAATCACAGAATGGTTTGGGTTTGAAAGGACCTTAAAGCTCACCCAGTTCCAATACCCTGCCACAGGCAGGGACACCTTCCACTAGACCAGGTTGCTCAAAGCTCCATGCAGACTGGCCTTGAACACTGACAGGGATGGGGCAGCCACAGCTTCTCTGGGCAACCTGTGCCAGGGCCTCAGCACCCTCACAGGGAAGAACTTCTGCCTAAGAGCTCATCTCAATCTCCCCTTAATCCCAGCCTCCCCCTAAAGCCATTCCCCCTTGTCCTATCCCTCCAGGCTCTTGTTAAAAGCCCCTCTCCAGCTTTCTCGTTGGCCCATTTAGGCTCTGGAGCTCCTCTAAGGTCTCCCTAGAGCCTTCTCTTCTCCAGGCTGAACAAGCCCAGCTCTCTCAGCCTGTCTCCATAGCAGAGGTGCTCCAGTCCTCAGAGCATCTTTGTGGCTTCCTCTGGACTTGCTCCAACAGCTCCACATCCTTCACATGTTGGGGCCCCAGAGCTGGATGCAGGACTGCAGGAGAGATCTCACCAAAACAGAGCAGAGGGTGGAATCCCCTCCGTCGACCTGCTGGTCACACTGCTGGTGATGCAGCCCAGGACACGGTTGGTTTCTGGGCTCAAGCGCACACTGCTGGGTCATGGGGAGCTTCTCACTGACCAACACCCCCAAGTCCTTCTCCTCAGGGCTGCTCTCAATCCAGTCTCTGCTCAGCCTGTGTTTGTGCTTGGGACTGCCCTGACCCACGTGCAGGATCTTGCACAATGTCCTGGGCTATTCTGTTGCACCCATCTCTGCACAGGGCAAGGCCCTTGGCTTGCTAAATGAACCTGATTCTTGATTAAGTAGTTTTCAGAGGCTGGCCCTGATGCTGGGTGGACGCTCAGACCCACCAGAGCTTCCACATCCACATGGTTACATGGTCCAGATGGGACACACCATGTTATTGAGACAATGGGTGAACACCTTGCATTGAGGAGCTACATCAAGGCCAGAGTTTGAGTGATTTTCCTCCTATTTAAGCTCGTTTTCCCTGCCATGTGTTGTGTAATGAAACTAGGCACCCATTAAGGCGCTTAACTCCCCTTCTCCCCTCATATTGGTGCTGCCAGCGTGCCAGATATGTAACACAAACCTCACAGCACACAGCTCGGACCTTAATGGGTGGTTTTCCCTCTGTGTCCAAAAGGGCTGGTGTGGTCTTAATGCTCAAGTCTAATCACTGCTGTGAAATATTAATTAACCTGGCTGCTGTTGAAGCTCTGTGTGTGTGCTGCGGTGTTGGAGCGGCAGGCTCGGCCGAGCAGTGGAGTGTGAATAATGGAGAGCCAAATCCATTGCTGGTGTAAGCTGGCAGCGGGGCTGATTTACATCCCACCACTCACCATAGAGTTGTTAACTGGATTCGATGCTGGTGTGCCACGAGCTGTTTGCATTCAGAAAGGGGGCGATGGCAGGGTAAGTGTTTGGGGAGATCCAGGTGGGATTCAGACCTGCTGACACCAGTGTGGATTCAACCTCCAGAACAGCTCCCATTTGGGGGGTCCCTGCATGGGACTGGGGGAGCCCCTGCACACAGCTGTATGCTGGGGCTCTGCATGGAGTTTTGCACCCCGCAACTGTGGTGTCTGCCCCAGCGAGCCCCGACTGCGTCGGTGGAAGTCGAGTGGAGATGTGCCAGGGGGAAGCTGTGAATTTAATTGCTGAGCTAAAAGGCTGTGAGCCGACGGCTCTGAGTGGGCTGCAGGCAACGTCTGGGTGAGCGTTTCCCTCTCCAGCATGCTCCTGTCCATCCTGTTCAGCCACATGAGAAATACGTCCTGGCAGTGGCAGCCTTGGCTCACTGGTCCCTGGCGTCTCTGCTCTTCCTTTGCTGTTGGTGCCTTGAACTATTTTGCTGTACTTTCATGCTGGCACAGAGAGACAGAGCTGCCTGTGACAAGCCCTCAAAGGTTTGGGTCTTCTGCAATGTCCTCGGAAGTGTCCCTGCTCACAGCTGAGCTGTCAGCTGTTATAACACCCCCACTGCAGATGCTGACTCTTGCCAAAGGACACTAGGATGAGTGGCAATTAATGACTGGGGAAGGGAACAAGCCACAGCCATGCAGCCTGAGCTGTTCAGGAATCATGGCATCACAGAATGGTTTGGGTTGGAAGGGACCTTGAAGCTCATCCAGTTCCAACCCTCCTGCTATGGGCAGGGACACCTTCCACTAGACCAGGTTGCTCCAAGCCCCGTCCAACCTGGCCTTGAGCACTGCCAGGGATGGGGGAACTACTAACATCAGGACATTGTTCTTACATACAGAGCTGTGAGGATGAGCTGGGTTTAGCCACCTCCCCAGTTCTTCCTCCCCTGCTAGAGGTGGTAAAGGTCCCACATCTTTTCATAGCTTCTCCTTTCCAACAGTTCTTCTTTGCACTGGGCTGATCTGAACTGCTCAATCTCATTCCCCTCCTGGCTTGGGGGCTGCCGTTGCCCTGTTCCCAGCACCACACACTGCAAGGAGGGTGCTGGGCTGCATTTTAATTGGTGCCCAGTGTGTTTGGCTCTCTTAAACACGATTAGAGAGAGATTTACTGGCTTGCTTTACAGCTCTGCCTGCCTGTGGGGTTGCACTGATTTACATGGGGATCTGCCCTGCCTCTGTGAGGGTGCACGTGGAAGCTGGCTGGCACAGAAGCTGTGTATTTAATGTAGAGGTTTTCCTGCCTCTTAAATTAGTGGCAGGAGCTCAGAGGAGCCTGAGCGAGCCTTTTCCTTGGGGAGCTCCCAGTCATGCTTGCTTGTGGCTCCAGGCTTTCCCCTGGGAACAGCTTTCAGGGAGGAGGAGGTCTGCAAGCAGTGCCCTACATCTTTCTCAGTGCCCGCCATCCTCGCAGCACTGAGCTTGTCCCTTTTCTCTGCCAGCATCACTTGTTTCATCCCTTGGCTGATATTTTCCCCTCCTTTCCCATGGTCTGGGGCTTCTCACTCCATCCCTCTGCTCACCCTGAGGTGTATGGAAAATAAAGCTCATTAGTCGCTGGGCCGACTTGAGTGTTGCTCAGTGGCATTTCTAACACATAGCAGGGAGACTTCATCCTTTTCCCCATGCAAGCTCACCCACTGGGTGCTAAAGGGCTGAAGGAGTCAGAGGATGAGTATGAAGGAGACTCTTGCATAAATGAGATTTTGCTAAGCAGATTAGGGAAAGGTCTATGGTTCAGTGCAGGGCTTGGAGGATGCCAGGGCTGGGCTGGCAGTACAACCCCTACCTTCAGGCTGGTGCTTGCCTGGGGTTAAGAGAGTGACCTTCATGGGATATTAGGTTTATGGGGGATTTTGCATGATTTAATTAAGATTTATTTGCAATCATCTGGAGTGCCTTTATGAAGTAAATTCTAGGCATCAAATAATATGGCCATAATGTTTTTCAGCCATGCTTATTGCCAGGATGCTATTAAAATGGTAAGAGGGGAGGGGAACTAATGAGGAAAGGTTTAAGGTCGGAGCACTGGGAGTGTGAAGTCATTTGGGGAGGTGAGCTGGGCCTGTGTCCCGTTCTCACGTGGTCATGCTGGATCCCAAACTTACCAGTTACATCTGGTACCAGTGAACCACCCCCCTGGAAGCACATGCAACGAGTTTATCTGAGCGCCTCGGGGCTCAAGCCAGTCGAGCAGCTAAGTGGGGGTTACAGCAGTGAGCAGCAGTCTCTGGGACTGAAAGACTGTAATTATCCCCAATTAGATCGGCTTTCTCAGGGCTCAGCTATCAAAGCAAAAGACCCTTTTGGCTTGCTTTGTCCCCCTGCAAGAACGCAGATGTGACCTGCTGCGGCTGAGAGTGGTGGTGAAGTGGGGTGCCCCAGACTGAGGTGACACATGTATCATGGGTAGCCGTGGGAGCCAGTGCCGCTTCTGAGTTCCCTACCTTATTCCCTCCATAGGGAGAGGGTTGAGTCACGTTTCTCTGTGCCTCTATTTACCTGATCTTTAAGAAAACCCTTATCCTTGGTTCCCGCTGCCAGCAGGAGGAGAGCGTGACGCACCGTGCGGGTCCATGCCTGCGGCTCTATCGCATCCTTGATGCTGTTTCGGGGTCGGCTCCGACCTGCTGAACCTCCCCCCCCTTGCTACTGCTGCCCACAAACGACCGATGCTTCATGTGCCCAGCGGGAGAGCTTTGGGCTCAAGGGACCTTGAAAAGCTGCCCCCATTCCCTCGAAATTCCCAGCTCCGCGGCCACCCCCGCGTACCGGTGCAGACGCGGGCAGAGCAAAGCCAGCGCCGTTCCCAGCTGCCATCGGAGCCGCCTCGGTGACTCAGCAGCCGTGCTGAAAGCTCCCTTATTTATTTAAACGGCTGCTCCCGCTCGGCTGAGCATCTCCTGCAGGGATGCTGCCGCTGGGCCGGCCCCGGCCGCCGCTCGGCGAGGAGGAGAGCGGTACCCGGCGCTCCGAGCCCCCCGGTTCGCTCCGGACGCGATGGCTTTGACTACCTGGGCTCTCGGCCCCGCGCTGCGGCTCTGTGCCGCCGGCCCTGTCTGCTCCTGGGAGATGCTGCACGTGGCCGGAGCAGGTACCTTCTCCTGGCTTTGCTTTTCCATAGCGTGTTGGGTTGGATTTCCTGGGATGGGGACTGCCGACGACCTTTGGTGTCATCTTTCTATTGTTTTAAATACCTGGTGCCAGGCTGGGCTGGAGGAATGCATTGTGGCTACAAGGTTTTGTCCTCGCAGGGGGGATGCTGCCAGTCAGTGCCTTGCTCAGGGCTGGAGCTGTGGCTGCAGTGGTGCTGGTGCAGGGGTGCAAGGTGCATGGGGTCAGTGTGGTGGGTGCTAAAGGAAACCAGTGCCTGGAAAAAGAAATGTTCTGTCTGAGACCCTTGTCAGTAGCCAGGCTGGGGGGGGCGTCGTTGCTAGCCCCAGCATTAGGGTTTGATGCTGGGGGGTGGTCCTGTATAGACCAGGCAAAGGGCTGATTTAAGCTCTGACATCAGGACCAGACTTAGGTTTGTTGCTCTCTGGAGAGTGCTTGGAGTGGGGGAAATAAAACAAAGGAAAATCTTCCTCTTTCCTCAAGGTCTGTGTCATTTATATTCTGCTTTTTTAAGGATTTACAGTCTTCCTGTCTGTGCCTACGTATGTCTGTGCTGGGCGAAACCAACAGAAATCAAGGGTTTGGAGCAGGAAAGTTTCTCATTTCTCTTGGTTTCATGCAAGCAGAGTGAAAGAGACCCTTTCTGTGCCTTGCTACGGGGAGCTCAGCCCTCTTAGTAGACATCAGAGAGTCTCACCTGGAGGCATTGCAATGCAGGAGGCTCTGTCCTGCTGGGCCATGGTGGGATCCCACACACCAGTGTCCTGATGTGTTTTGGATTGAACAATGTTGCTGCCTTTGCCTGTCTGGACCATGTTCATCCTCCTGCCCTGTGGAACTAATGGTGCACCTGGGTCCCCTTTGCAGGCAGGCACTTCAGGTCTTCACATGTCCCCTACTGCTGCTTTCTTTAGGAGAGACCTTAAAAATCTCCTACTTCTGGAAGAAGAGGTCTTGCTAGGTGAGAGGGAAAGCATTACACTTAATTATGCAATTATTATTGATGGGATCTGTTCTGAATCTGCTCTTCAGCTTCATTCGTCAGGGTGTGGGTGATGGATTTGGAGCGTGGCTGGGCTCTTTACTCCTCTCCCAGGGCTAGGAATGTGTATTAGTCCCCAAAATACTTCAAAGTCACATTTCTAGAGGTGAGATAATTACCAAGGAGGCTGCAGGAGGTTGAGGGGACCTTGCTTTTTTGCTAATAGGATCACTTATGGGGAAACTCTCCAGCTATTTTGCAGGGAGAGCTCCTGGTCCATGCTGAGGCTCCATGCACGTGGCCTGGCAAGGTGAGATGAGCCATGTTGCCTCGCCTCTCCTGGCCGAGGGGAATTCATTAACAGCATTCAGGAGATCATCAGGTGCTTGTTTGTGTGAATGACAAACGAGAATTTATTAAGAGGCCAGATTAAAGGTGCTTCTGAAAAAGAGCAAAATCGATTGGAGGCAATGGAGAAGGGAGGAGGGAGAGCAGTGGATACGAGACTTAGGAATACTGGAGAGTGGGAAGGTGCGGAGGAGCTGGCAGGGAAAGCATGAGAGATGGAAGGAGCTCTCTGCCACCGCTGTGTTGCCAGGGGAGTGCTGGTGCTGGGGACCCCAAGGGGACCCCAAAGCAAGCGGAGGCAGCGCGCTCAGGAAGCGAGCGAGCGCATTGCAGGAAGCGAGCGGTGCCGGTGCCAGGAGCTGGCGCGAGCAGGCGTGAGCTCATGCGTTCCAGTGGGAGCGGTCGCCGGCTCCCACCAGCACAGCCTTTGTCCCCCCGGCTTCTGCTTCTCGGTGGTGGTTGCCAAAGAGCAGCCCCGAATTACTCACGCTTCCCTGGGCTCGCAAAGGCTGGTTCTTTGGGGTGGCTGACATCAGTGTCCTTCCACAGGGTGCAGCACCTAAGTAACGCCAGACCCTGGGGAAAAATGCATTGTGCTGGAGCAGGGGGTCCTGGCATGCAAAGTCCTTGGAGCAGTGCTGGGGAGGGGAAAGCATCCAACAATCCTTCCTCTCCCCATTCCCTGTTCTTAAATAAACAAACTCTGCAGATATTCAGCAGCATCCAGGAGACAGGGCAGCACTGGTACAGCTTTATTCAGGGTGGAGGTGCCCACGGATGCTGAACTCTGGTGTTCCCATGCTTGGTGCATGTGGGAGCACCATGGATGCTCGAGAGCCAACCTGGACCACCGGCTGTTCCCAAGCTGAAGATGGGGCGATCCCCAGCTACTGCGGAGGGTGTGCTGCAGTTCTGAGAAGCAGGAGATGGCACAGGGAGAAATATCCAGGTTGCAAAGGATCCCTTCCTCCCTTGGCAGCTCCCTAAAAGTGAAGCAGGGGGTCACATCCGCATTTGGGGTATCTGGTGGCTATGGCTGATTGCATTGCTTGGGGTTGGGATGAAGCTGATGCCTGCCTTTTCTGCCACTTGCTGGCGTGTGGAGTTGCTGCTGTGAGGGGTTTTGGGTGTTGAAGAGGCTGTGCAGGGCACGACTTATGCATCATGGAGAAGCCACTGCCAGGTCTGGGTATGGTTGTGTCAGTGTCCTGCGAAACACAGGTCATTTGATGGTCCCCATAGGGGTCAGGGATGGTGGTCCAGCAGCCCAAAGATAGGGTGGCAGTCAAAGGAGTTTGGTGGTTCTCAACAGCTCAGCTTTGGAGCTGCAAACAGAATGCATTTTCCTTTCATAGCCTTCATAAGATGCTTTCTTGTCTTCTTCTGTCTTGCTGTTTCCAGCAGCCTGTGCTCTTTATCACATCTGGCTTGATGGGGAGCGTGGGGCAGGGTGAATGGTAGGAGAAAAGAACTTTTGGTCCAAGGACCTGCAGTAGAGGACCTTGTGAGATAGAGACGCACAGATTTAGGGGAACTTTGGACATCTTGGGTTCTGGGGGCTGTTTTCTTGGGTGAGAAAAGCAGATAACCCTGCTGTTCTACATCAAATGATGCTGGTCACCAGCCAGTTCCCTGCCCCTCAGCTGTAACTTTCTTCCTTGGGTTTTCTTTTTGGCTGCAGAACTCTGGGATGTCACCAGCTTGGTGCCCTGTCCTCTTTCCAGGTTTCCCTGTTGAATCCAAGGATATGTTCCCCACCAAAGGTCCAAGCTGACCAGCTCTGTCTCTTCTCTTCCAGGTGTGTGCGGCTGCTGCGGCGCCCTGCGTCCTCGCTACAAAAGACTCGTTGACAACATCTTCCCTGAGGACCCAGAGGTAAATGAGGCACTGCTGCATGTGCTGCAGCTCTGGTGCAGGGACATGGTGTGACCTGTCCAGAAACAGCTCCTTGAGGCAGGTGATCTTTGACATAAGAGCATACCCGCAGGGTTGAATTTTCCTTTAAAGCTTGCTTATGAGCAGGAATACAGAAGCAGCTCCTCCAGCCACATTGGCCTGGAGGTACAGACCTCCTTTCCCAAAGGTGCTGGGCAGATGATGAGGATGGAGGGATGGGAGGATGAGGGCTGGACCTGAAGGTGTACATCCTTCTCTTTGCAGGATGAGGAAAGCAGCTTTTAACAGCAAGGCCTCATCCAGTCTTTTGAGTTCAAAAGCTGCTTATGCTTCCAGGATGTGGGGAAGCTGGTGCCCTGTTTGCTGCCTCGCTCAGCTGGTGATGGTGAATGCCCTGCCAGCTGTGCCTGGAGCATTCCAAATCTGACCTCTTTATCTCCTTTTCACAGCCAAGATGGGAAGGCAGTGGAAGAGAGGGGCTCCTGACTGAGGATAGCAGGACTAGGGTCACCCGGGGAGACAGTGGGTGCCTGTTTTGTTATGGCACTGGCAGCAAAGCTGAACAAGAGACGAAGCTGATGCTGAGCCATGTAGGGAGGAGGAAACACTGCAGTTTTCCATGTGCAGGGGGCTGGAGCTGGCAGCTTGGCACGCTTGTGTTGTTTGGCCTCAGCAGCCTGGAGGTGTTGATGTCCCTGTCTGCCCCTGTCTCCCTCTGTGCTGGGGCATTGCTAGGCAATGGCAAATGATTCTTGGGGTACTCAATGGAGGCTTTCACTGAGGACACCTCTGGATGTGGAGCATCAGAGAGCCCTCAGCCAAGGCTAAATGCAGTCCTCGTTTGCCTTCCCTTGTGTATAAGGTGTGGGGAAGTGCTGGGATCTGCTCCAAACCTCTGGCATTGCTGCCAAGGTTTGCTGCAGAAATGCTCCTGGTGATTGCTGGGTCTGGGTGTGAGGCCGTGATTCCCTGTGTGGTTCTGTTTCAGGATGGGCTGGTGAAGACTAACATGGAGAAGCTGACATTTTATGCTCTGTCTGCTCCAGAGAAGCTGGATCGTATTGGTGCCTACCTCTCCGAGCGGCTCATCCGAGATGTGAGCCGGCACCGATATGGGTAAGGCCTGGGAGACTGTTTCAGTCACCCCAGTGACTGGCATAATGATAGGACACTAGATAGCAGAGGAGGCCCAGGCAAGGGGTGGGACATGTGGGATATGCAGCTTCTGCATGCTCCAGGCTGTCCTGAATCTGTGAGCACACTGTGACAGACTTGAGCATGTCCTGCCTCCAAAAGGGAGACATGGGAGCATTCAGGGATGTGCAAACTCCTTGCAAAGCTGCAAGGGACCAGTCAACCTGGGAGCCATGTTGTATTTCTCTGGCATTGTGCTGTCTGTGCTGGAGAAGTCTGTGTGTATATGGTGTTTGTGCCCAGCAGCAGGACTGCCATCATCTGGAGCCTGTGGCACCCTGGCGGCCTTTAAAAGCCCACACTCTTCCAGAGCCAGATGGAAGTGTGGCTAGGTGTAGGCAAGCAGCTAAACTGTCTGCAGCTTGCTGGGAGTTATTTAGGACAAGCTTGGGTGTGTTGCACCCCAAGCACATCTCTACTAAGCTATGGTGACATAGCGTAAGTGGGATCAAGGATGAGGGGCAGCTTGCTGACGCTTTTCCATTAAACACATGGCAGGATGTATTGGGCTGGATGGGGATTGATGTGTTTGCTTTGTCTGGCTGTGTGGTCCTGGCTGCCCTATTGCCTTCATCTTCCTTCCCCCATCACTTCCAGCAAGGCTTTGCCGTGTTTACTGCAATGAGGGCAGCACCCGTCTGGAAATAGCTGACTGCCCTCATTAGAAACTATGGGGGAGCTTGGGAGGGCTCCTTCCCTTTGAAATAGCTCCTGGATTGATTCTTGTTGTCTCCTGAACAAAGCCGTGGTAGACAAACACAGCTCAGCTTCGTGGCATGATCTTCAGCCTGCCTTTTATCCTGGGGGAAGAGGAGCCAGCAGCCTGCCTAAGAAGTGTTGAAGTTGGAAAACCTTCAAAGCCTCATCCGCATCGCCCGTCATTGGGAGTGACAGGACATTCAAAGCTCTGCCTGATGTTCTGCGGTTAAGTGGATGTTAACAGGCTCTGCTTGCTGTGTCGGGAAAAGAATGACTTTCAAAGACTTTTGACATCTAATAACAAGCCTTGGTGGGTGAAGGGGGGAATATATTCCTTCCTCCACTGCCTGTGCATATAGGCACATAATTGGGTTGGAGCACCAGCTAATTTTCAAAGTCTAACTTTGAAATGCCTGAAATGGGTTTGGATCAACCTTTTGTTTGTAGGTTGGTGTTGGCTGGAGCAGCAGAGCTGCTGCAGAGATCACATCTGGGCTTTTGAAGAGCAGCAGAGCACATGGGTTCCTCTCCTGCATGCAAGATGAAGGTAGCCTTGATTTCAGGCCTGTTGGTTGTCACCTTTTTGTTACCTTTATTGCTAAAAGGAGGAAGTGTTCCTGTTTGAGTTTGCAGCAATGCAACCCACCATCTGTAAGAGGATGGTTAGAGTAGGTTGGAGGTGACAACTGCCTAAGTGTTTGTTTTCCCCCTTGGTGGCCTGTGTCCAGTTGCCTCCCAAAAGGAAGCCGTGCTGTTGCAATAATATTGGGCACAAAATGTTGTTTTCATCCTTGTTTCCAATGAGAAAGGAGCTTGATGCTTCATGCTGGTTATCAGTCACCTCTTTGTACCTTTTTTCCCTCTGGGTCAGATTTAACCCAGTTTGACATATGGGTAGTTGCTCATGGATCCAGGAATAGTTGACTTATTTTGCAGTGTCTTGAAGAGCTGTAATGGTGCCTGAAGGACAGGCTGCAGCGTGAGCTCAACCGTGCCACAAGACACCAGAGAATCTACTTAAGGCTGGAGCCAGATTTCAACAGTTCTGAGGGCTCAAGAGAAGGGATCAATATTTCATGTTTTTACCAGCTGGAATGTGGAAGTCCAGGGGTTTATCAGACCCCTCCTTTTACCCTGAGAGGGCAGTTGCCTCCGCAGCTCCCCCTGAATGTGCAGATAGAGCTGGTGTGAGTAGATGGGCAGCTCTTGCTCATCTTATTGCTGGTGAGCTTGGTACTTTTGGGTTCCCATCTTGCAGCATAAGCCGGTGGCTGCTTCATGCTACCCAGGCTGCAAATCCAGCTGTGCAAGGAGCTGGCTCGAAAAATGGAGCTTAGAGGAGGAATCATGCTTGATGGCAAGAGATCTGGGATTCCTACCTCCTGCTTTCAGCCATGGTAGGAGATTGGGTCTTGATGTGAGCGGCCAAGGTACAAAGATTCATAGCTGTGTGGAGAGCAGGAGCCAAACGGGGGTGGTAAGGAGCTGTAAAGCTTGTTTTATTCCCAGTGTCTTGGTACCAGGTTCTTGTCAGGTGTTTGGGTACTCAGAGGTCTTGTGAGAAGAACGGGAGCTGTGAGACTCAGTGCAATGACCATTTGTTGGTTTTCTGTATTCTGGATTTGCTTCTCCGCTGGGCTTTGTGCAGTGGGTGAGCAGCAGCTGGAGGTCAGTGTGATCACTGCAGAATTTATCTGTACAGGGGCTCATGCCACTTTGTTGGCAACAGACCAGATGCTGATGATGTAGGAAGAGCTGCAGGACCAGCGTGCAAACAGACTTTGCCAGAGCAAAGGAACCAATTTGTCTTGAGAATGTGAAGCAACACCTGACAAATCCTTCAGTCAGCCCATGCAAACCCCATGAAATTCAACAAGGCGAAGTGCAAGGTTCTGCATCTGAGTTGGGGCAATCCCAACCACAAATACAGGCTGGAATGGGAGCAGCCATGAGGAGAAGGACTTGAGGGTGTTGGTTGATGGGAAGCTCAACACGACCCTGCAGTTGATGAGAAGCTCAACATGACCGTGATAGTGTTCAGGGCCAGGCTGGATGGGACTTTGAGCAATCTGGTCTAGTGGAAGGTGTCCCTGCCCATGGAAACCTGTCACCTCTGTATCAGGGACCCATCTGAGATTCATCACTGGGCACAAGGTTTTCCAGCTTCCTCTTGGAGGCAGGCATTGCAGAGCTGGTTTAATAAATAGCCTGGAAGATGCACTGTGGCAGCTTGCAGCATAGCCAGCTGCCAGAGGGTGCTTCTGCAGGAGCTTCTGCAGGTATGTATATGGTTTGGTGATATGAATATACTTTGTAGGGTTGCTTTCTTTAGGCAGAGCTTTTCTGGAGCACATCTGTCTAACTCTGAGTTATCCCTGGCCAGGACCAGGTGTTGTGCAAGAATAGTTGCCTTTGATGCTGAGCCCACCCTGTACAAAGTCCACTGTTCCCTCACAGGATATAAAGACCAGTTCAGGCAAGGGAAGCCCACAGGCAGTGTGGAGGTAGATGCAGGGTGTTGCTGGTGACTTTGGTCCCAAGGCTGTTGGATCCTTGCTAGGTTGGTGCTGGGTGCAGCAAACACCATCTAAAAATACCCTGAGAGTGTATTGGGTGTAAAAGCGGTTGCTGTTTTGCTGGTGGGCACCCAGGTGGTTTGGAAGAGGGGAGGAGGAGGGATGACCACATGCCTAGTCTGCTGTCAGGAAGTGACCCTGGTTCTGCCCACTCCCAGGTACGTGTGTATTGCAATGGAGGCCCTGGACCAGCTCCTCATGGCCTGCCACTGCCAGAGCATCAACCTCTTCGTGGAGAGCTTCCTGAAGATGGTGGCAAAGCTGCTGGAGTCAGAGAAGCCAAACCTGCAGATCCTGGGGACCAACTCGGTGAGTAGCAGTGCAGCAGGAGGTGGCAGTGCCCTCTCCTCTGCTTTCAGCCCTGCTTTTCACCACTGTCTCTTACAGTACCAGGGCAGGAGACTTTGTTGGGAAGGGACGGGGAGAAGTAACAGGGGAGGATTTATGGGGTCCCCTCGCATGTCCTGCCATGCATGAAATTTCTAAGACCCTGGCTGTGATGTGTGTGTGCTGTCCCTCCTTTTTATTGTCTGCAACCAGTCACTGGTCTCTGATCTCTGCCATGCCTTTCTTCTCTTGAATTCAGCTTTTCCTCAATGAGCATGAGGACTCGGGGGCTGTCAGCGGTTTTGCACAATAGACCAACTTAGGAGAAGATCCCCATGGATTTTGAGAGCTATTTGTGCTCAGAAAAGGGCTGGCTTAAACAGAGCTGCTGCTTGCAATAAATGGCTTAGGTGGACTGGGGATGTGACAATGACACACATAAAATGAGGGGAAAGGCGGAATGGACAAAGTTGAGTGAACAAAGTTGACATCCTCCAGCATCCAAACTGCTGATCCTGGCTGAGAGGTAGCTGCCACTTGTGCAGCTGTTGTTTTTTACTGGGAATACTGGGTGTAAATAACAGCCTGGCTTGTGAGGGCTCTGCCAGTGCCCAGTAGCTTGTCTTGGTCAAGCAGCATCTGTCGTTGCTGCTTTATAAGAGGTGGGGTTTAGATGGAGCAGATCATCCTGTGGACAGGGTTGGTGCTCTCTCTCGTGCCTTGGAAACACATAGACAGTTCAACCCTAAGCTTTTACCAGTTGCCAGTGGCACCAAACTGAGTGGAGAAGAGGACATTTTGGAAAGGAGAGTCACCCTGCAGGATGAGTTGGACAGGCCTGAAGAGTGGGCTAACAAGAACCTTATGGAGTTCAACACGGACAAGTGTAAGGTCTTACACCTGGGTAAACACAATCCAGGAGTGCAGTACAGGCTGGGATCTGCCTGGCTGGGGTGCAGCTCTGTGGAAAAGGTCCTGTAGGACACAAGCTCAATGGAGCTGCACCTCAATGGGAGCTGCTGGCATGGAGCTGGGAAAGGGAGAGCCCTTGCTGCAGGGCATCACAGTGCCATGGCAGAGGCTTCAGCAGACCAGCCCCACCACAGGCATTGGGTCAAGGCAAGACAGAGCCCTACCTCATGTTTCCTGCACGTATGGAATAAACCTCCCATGTTCTAGCACACACGGAGAGGAGGGATGGTCATGGAATCATCACAGATTGGTTTGGGTTGGGAGGGACCTCAAACCTTATATAATTCCAACCCCTTGCCATGGGCAGAGGCACCTTCCGCTAGACCGGGTTGCTCCAAGCCCGTCCAACCGGGCCTTGAACACTGCCAGGGATGGGGCCAGGGCCTCACCACCCTCACAGGGAAGAACTTCTGCCTAAGAGCTCATCTCAGTCTCCCCTCTGTCAGGTTAAAGCCGTTCCCCCTTGTCTTATCCCTGCAGGCCCTTGTCAAAAGCCCCTCTCCAGCTTTCTTGTCAACCCCTTTAGGCAGTGGAAGCTGCTCTAAGGTCTCCCTGGAGCCTTCTGTTCTCCAGGCTGAACAAGCCCAGCTCCCTCAGCCTGTCCTAGGCCACAGATAGGTGTTTCCTTAGCACTGCTGTCACTGCAGTCAGGAATTGGGAGCGAGTGTTTTAATGAGGAATCCAGATCAGGAATGACGGTTTAGTGATGGTTTGGGTTGGTTTTTTTCCCTTCTGAAGCGTGGCGGCATTCACAGGGCAAATAGCACAGAAAACTTGAGGGCTTTTGTAGAAAAGTGACTAATGATAATGAGACACTTCTTCCTATATCTGCTAATGAGGAATGTGCCTCAGGCTCGTGCTTAATTAGAGGGTGCTGTCTGAAGCAATCTTCACAATAATGGAGCTGATGGCAAAGGCAGGAGGAGGTTGTTTATAGAAACCTGCTCCAAGTGAGTCATTCTCCGTGGTGTGAAATCTCGCCTGAGACACATCCCCCTCCTCACGCAGAGCCAAGGCTGATCCCAAGCGGCTGCGGTGGGGCTGATCCCAGGACCAGCCTGCCAGGCTCCACAGCCACAGCGCTGGAAGCGGCAGCGAAAATCCAGCATCCCATGATCACTATAACCCCATCCTATAATCCCCAGGGTGAACATATGGAGCTGGAGTTTAAATCCACTTTGCTTTCTCATCCTCGTTAGGAGTCTGCTGGGCAACCTCCCCTCTTTGGGTAGGAACCATCTAATTTCCAGCTCGATGTCATTCCCATTTTATTTTTCCTCAAACCACCATTGATCTTTCATTTAAACAGCTCTTCCCCCGCCTTGATGTTTCTCTTCTGATGTATTTATGGCTGATGTATTTATAGGTAGCAGCGTTATCCCTTCCCAGCCCTTGTTTTGCTTCTCCAAGACAGCCGCGCTCCTCGCATCTTCCCTGCGCTTGCTCCCTGCTCCCAGCTGTGTTTCAGTTGGAGCTTGTTGGCTTCAAGCAGGGGAGCCCTAAGCTGCCCAGCCCTGCACCCCCTCAAACCACAGCACAAATCATGTTGTGTTTCAATGTTTTAAACAGTTTTCCCAGTGGAAATCCCACGTGAAGCTGTAGAGCAGTTTTTCAGCTGAGTTGTGGTGCCTGTTACTGAAGGTTTCTCTGAAGGTTGAGTGCCTCCTTTCCTGCTGGTCCAGTTCTTCCTGGGGCATTTCCATGTATTCTGGTGCTGCTTTTAGCCACTGGGTATGGGTTGGCAGTGGGACCAGGGTGGGCATCTCCTGTAATTGCTGCTTGGTACAGCATCCTTGTAGGGACAGCCACGTCTTGGAAAAATCCAACAGTCTGAGCAAATGGGAGACTCCTAAAAATGTCCTATAGATTGAAAAAGAGGCTTTAGGGCTGATTTTTCTCTGTTCTAGGCTGATTTTTACAAGTTCTGGCCCTGCCAGAGGCTGTGAAAATGGATGCAGAGAAGGCAGCTGCCTCCAGCTGTTGGCAGATGTGAACAATGTGCTGCATCCAGTGTCACTGGGCATAGCTGTGGGAAATCTGTTGCCCCAGGAGAGAGGAGGGCAGGGCGCACTGTGCCTGGGAGCCAGCCAGGGAAGGGGCCCTTGGGGCAGGGAGCTGAACCAAGAGTGCTGCTGGTGTGGGTGTGTGAGCTGGCAATCCTCAGGGCCTTGGCAGATTCAGGAGCTCTGATGAGGTGGCCCTGTTTGGTGTCCTGATGGTACGAAGTGAGCTCCTGTCCTCCATGTGGCTGTGTGATTGATACCTGCAGGTACTGGCTGCAGAGAAGCTGTTCCCGTCCTTGATTTCATGATGCTTCATAGCCACGGGACACTTGGAACAGCTCTCCTGGGATGCTTGAAACAGCTCTCCCGGAGCTGCTGTGGGGAGCCCCATTACTGCTCCTCACTCTGCACCCTGCCCTCGCCTTCAGTAGCACGTGGAGTTGCTATGAGCCTAAAATAGCCACTTTGTGTGCTGTTACAGAGGTTTCTTATATAACAGCCCTGCATTTTTCTGGTGAGTAAGAAGAGTTTATCAGTTGGAGCCAGTCCCTGTGCTCTGGGAACAGTTCCTGGCGGGGCTCAGCAGCTCCTTTGCTTGCACAGAGCCAGCCCTTGCAGCTGACATTATTAATAGCCCGGCACAGCGGGTGCATGATAATCAGTGTCTGTGTGATGCACTGGGATGCTGGGCTGGCTTTGCCAGCTGTGATGGGGCACTGGTGGGCCATTTGCCTGCTGCTGTCCTGGTGGGGCTGGATGCCAGCAAATGCAGAGAGCAAGAAGTGAGAAATAGTGCGGATAGGGTTGGGGTAAAGAAGGAGCTCCTGTGCAGCATGGAATGTCCAGAGGGTGCTGAGCACCCTAAGAAGTGCCAGGTGGACAGGTAACCCCTTGGAAGTAGGCTAGGCCTCCTAGTTGGAAGAGGAACCCAGCAGTTATAGAATCATAGAATGACAGAATGGTTTGGATTGGAAGTGACCTTAAAGCTCACCCAATTCTGACCCCACTGACATGGGCGATACTCTGCTTTTATTAGAATAATAATATTCCTGAGAGTTATAGGCTACTAGACTTTAGAGACCTAATTCTCTGTGTATAATATGATACCCATCTTGCTCAGCTCTACCATCAGGACCCACATGAAGTTACTTTTCACCTCCTTTCTTCTGTGGCTGTATGCCACAGAAGTGGCACCTCTCCAGTCTCTCATGGAGCTTGGGCCTTGGCAGAAGGATGTGTGTGCTGCCTGGAGACCCTGCTCCCATTGCAAAGGGCTTTCCCAGCTATGAATAAGTTAGGGAATTAAGAAGAAAGCTTGCAAACATGTTTATCCTTTTTTCCTCCTAAATTCTTTCCCTGAAAGCTTAGCAGCCAGATCTGTTGGTCAGCTGGCATTTCTGGCAAGCTCTGCACCTCTTGGCGCGGCTATACTGGAAAGGAGCAATGGGACCTTGTGCTGTTTGGTGCTGCGGGCAAGATCTGTGGATGTGGTTAAGAACCTGCTCATGGTTGGTTTATCCACTGGCACTTCCAAGGCTGTTTTCCCCCCTGCAGCAGTGTTTGGGAAGTGCTGGCTGGGTTTTATTGCCACCTGGAAGGATGGAAAGAAGCTGGGGGCAAATTTATCTCCTGTTACTAGTGCATGTTGCATATTAAGGATCCCTAACTCAGAGCCTTGTTGCACCTCTAAATGCCCTTTACAGGGGCAGCTGAGGCTTGCAGTGATGTTTGGTTGGACCTGGGTACTGTTGGAGGTCAGTGGGGCTCTGTGGTGACACTTGGGGACCCTGTGTCCTAGATGCAGCTAGGCAGCCAGATTTGTTATCCATCAGCACACACCAAGCTGCTGCAGTGAAGCCCACAAAGGTGGTTTGGAGAGGAACTGGGAAAATATTTTTGTTGGCATGCCCTAAGGGATGACCTCCTTTTTCTTCTCACCCAGTTTGTGAAGTTTGCCAACATAGAAGAGGACACTCCATCTTATCACCGCAGCTACGACTTCTTCGTCTCCCGCTTCAGTGAGATGTGTCACTCCAGCCACGATGACCTGGACATCCGGACAAAGTGAGTGCTGTGAGCAGGGTGTCCCTGGTCCTGCTGGCTCTGTGAACATACCCTGGAGGATTTCCTACGCTCCCAGCCTCTGCCTTCCCTGGAGAAGCACCTGCTTTTGGGGACAGGTTTAATGCAGGCTGCAGGGATTGACTGCTTTGTGCTGTCATGGAGATGCACAGTGATTCCCTAGAGTTGGGTGCGCTGTTCTCTATCCTCCCTTATTTACTAAGTAGTAAACCCTGCTGACTGTATGGGAGGATGAAACAGGAGCCTAGAAATCATGGTGCAGCACATACCCAGCCTCTGTTGCTGTGTGGGAATAGAGAGTCCTAGAATGGTTTGGATTGGAAGGAACCTTAAAGCTCATCCAGTTCTAACCCTCTGCCATGGGCAGGGACACCTTCCACTGGACCAGGTTGCTCCAAGCCCCATCCAACCTGGCCTTGAACACTGCCAGGGATGGGGCAGCCACAGCTTCTCTGGGCAACCTGTGCCAGGGCCTTACCACCCTCAGGTCTTCCTAAGACCTCATGTAAATCTCCCCTCTGTCAGTCTAAAGCCATTCCCCCTTGTCATGTCCCTACAGGCCTTTGTCAAAAGTCACTCTTCAGCTTTCTTGTCAGCCCTTTTAGGCAGTAGAAGCTGCTTCAATGTATCTCTCCAACAGCTCCACATCCTTCTTATGTTGGGGCTTCAAAGCTGAATGCAGGTCTGCAGGGGAAGTCTCACCAGAGTGGAGGAGAGGAAGAGAATCCTCTCCCTTTCACCTGCTGGTCACACTGCTGCTGCTGCAGACCAGGTCATGGTGTGAGAGAAGTTGATTTTCATTTGCAAGTGTCCTGAGAGCACAGCAGCTGTGCTCGATCTGACCACATCCAGTGACAGAACAAACATGCCCTTAGGCTTCCAACTTCTTTCCTTTGGGCAAAATATGAGCAGGTAACCCCTGGAGTCTGCCCATTACAAGGCTGCCTCAGTGCATCTTTAAGCATTCATCATCTCTGCTCTGGGGCCATGGCCTGTGGACAGCTAGGAACTCAGATTAGGAGGTAAAGAAGTTATCCTGGTCCCAAAAGGAAGGATGATGATGATGATGATGATGATGGGAAGAGGCTCCTTCTCTTAGCAGAATGAACGCTCACTCACAAACTGCCTCCTGCAGCCATGTGGTCTGTTATTTTCCACATTTAAAGGTGGCTCCATCTCTCTAGACAGCGTTGAGGACTGATTTGCTTTGCTGTGATGGGAAACATACCCCAGAGGGATTAATTATGACTAAAGCAGACAGATTAATGTTGTTTACTGTTGCCAAGGCCAGGCCTGTTGGTGATGTGTTTAAAAAGATCCAGCACTTGAAATGGCCCCATGAGGCACTGATGGCATAGAACCTGTGGCTCCCACCAGGAAGCTCTGGGCAGGAGGCCACTGCTGCCACGGGCTGGTTTTAAGTAGAGCCCAGCACATCGTGTTGCTGCTGTTCCCAGAGCTACTGCACCAGGGACTGGTTGCTTTGCAGAGGGGTGAACCCTTGAGGTTTGCCACTTCTCATGGCACCTTGTCTCCAAGGACCAGGCTTGCCTCTTTTTAACACTGCAGACTGACAGGTTTGGGATTTTTTCCCCTCTTAATAAGGAAGTAATGCAGAAGGCTCATTATTCTCACTTGACCTTCAGGGCGCCAGGAATGCTGGCTAAATTGCATTGGAGACTGGAAGAGAGAAAATCAGCAGCTCCTGTAATTAAAAGGGAGCACGCTGCTTTCCTGGGCTCTTGGTCCTGCTCAAAGCTCCTTTCTGAAGAATTGTGTGTCAGTCAGATTATTGCCTTGATTAGATCTGAAAAATACATTAGAGAGACCTCAGAGAAGGTTTTTTAATGCGTTTATTTCTGCAGATCAGGACGTGCTATGTTTCTTGGGCATTGAGTGGGTGTTGAGGGTTTGGTTTCAGACCTGGGAATCCTGCTGTGTAGGGAAATTTTAATTGATGACTTTATTGACTAGAGCAGAGTTAGGATCTTTGGACCCAGAAAGGACACAGGTGTCAAAAAACACTGTCCTTAGCATCCAGAATCCCCATGGGTGCAGCTCACCTCTACAGCTGCTGGGAATGAGAGAAATCATAGAATCGTTTGGGTTGGAGGGGACCTTAAAGCTCATCCAGTTCCAATCCCCTGCTACAGGCAGGGACACCTTCCACTAGACCAGGTTGCTCCAAGCCCCATCCAGCCTGGCCTTGAACACTGCCAGGGATGGGGCAGCCACAGCTTCTCTGGGCACCATGTGCCAGGGCCTCACCACCCTCACAGGCAAGAACTTCTTCCTCAGATCTCATCTCAATCTCCCCTCTGTCAGTTTAAATCCATTCCCCCTTGTCCTGTCCCTACAGGCCCTTGTCAAAAGCCCCTCTCCAGCTTTCTTGTCAGCCCCTTTAGGCACTGGAAGCTGCTCTAAGATCTCCTTGGAATCTTCTCTTCTCCAGGCTGAACAAGCCCAGCTCTCTCAGCCTGTCTCGAACCTTCGAGGCATCTTTGTGGCCTCCTCTGGTCTCACTTCAACAGCTCCACATCCTTACTGGATGGACATTGGTGGCCCAGAGCTAGACCCAGTACTGCAAGGGTGCGGAGGGGGTGTCTCACCAAAGCAGAGCAGAGGGGTAGAATCCCCTCCCTCAACCTGCTCATCATGCTGCTGGTGATGCAGCCCAGGGGGTCTCCTGGGAAAGATGATTGATGGGAGCTGGATGCTGCTGCCAGGGTGATTTTAGCTGGCTCAGAGCCTTTCTTGCTCATGTATGTTGGGCTGTGGGAAGCCACATCTCTGGGGGACATGAGGCAGGAGGACTGCCCTGGGGTATAGCAGGCCTGCAGCTGGGAACTGGGGCATCACCTGTATGAATCCCTCTGGTAACACGTAGATCAGTATCTTCTCTCCAAGTTTTTGCACATTTTCAGCTGTGTATGTAAATGTAAAATAATGTATACTGTGTAGATATGTGGCATTTTGGTATAAATTTGCTCCCCAGGATCCGGATGTCTGGCATTAAAGGCCTACAAGGAGTGGTGAGAAAGACAGTGAATGATGAGCTCCAAGCCAACATCTGGGACCCTCAGCACATGGACAAAATCGTGCCCTCGCTGCTCTTCAACTTACAACACGTGGAGGAGTCTGAAAGGTAAGAACTTGATGCTGCATTGACCCACTTGCTCTGCTAGCAGCTTCAGGGTCCTTTTCAGCAAGGTTTTGCAGGGGAGAGGCATTGTGGGCTGATTTGTGCCTGCAGCTCATGACGAATGCAATGAGTGGCCAGAGGGGAAACCCTGTGAGTACCTCGGTGAATGATGCTGCAGGTGGCAGGAGCTCTGCATGTCACCCAGTGCTGTGAGGGTTATTGCTGTCTTTACCACTGCAGGACACCATGGCTCCCATGGAGCAGAGATATCTCTGTGCCATCCCTGCAGTTAAGGGATGCTGTTTGCAAAAGCTCTGAGCTGCCCTTTCAGTGGGCTGACCTTTGTGAAGGATTCTTGCTTAAATGCTACCGAAGAGCTATTTTAAAGGCAGACAAGAGAGATTTCAGGAACTGAAGTGTGTCTTTGCTCGCTGACCCTCCATTCTTCTGGCGTAACCCTGTGCTGGTTGCGTGTTTGCCACCAGCTGTGTGTTTGATGGGGAGTCACTTAACTGAGAAGCGAAGAGCAGAGAAATAGGTATGAATTCCTCCTGAGATTTTCCTTTTGAAGGTTAAGAGAGATGTATCAGCCTTGAGAAGCTGACTTTTGGCCAGATGTCTTTTCCTTTTTTCTTGTAAACAGAAACATCAAGGTGATAAAAGCATTCATGGTGTTTGTGTGATTCCAAGCAAGGTCGAGTGTGGAAAAAGGGGATGGATCTTCTCTGGGGTGTGCGTTTTCAGGGTGATTTGTGCCAGGCCGTGACTGCTTTGCACTTCCTCCCCTGGGAAGATATGTCCACCCTGGGAGGACATTATGTCCTGCATCCTCACTGATAAGATCCTTTCCTGCCTCAGCACTGAGCACTGTGATCACCCTCCCGGTCCCAGGGATGCGGGGGCTATCCCTGCTGCCTGGCACAGCCTGGTGCTGCAAGCAGGGCCATCCTGGCACATCCCTCGCGTCTGCAATCTGTGCACCATGCTGCTCTTTGCTCCAGCTCCATTCCAGCAGCACTTTATCATTGGGCTCTGCTGGGATGAAGGTACCCCATCTGCCCTGCAGGGTGACATGTGGCTGCAGCGGGCTGTGCAAGGGGTAGCCCACAGCCCTGTGCTGCATGGGGTGCAGGCAGATGCCACGACCATTTTGCTCCAACCCTCCCTGTCCGGGTTCTGTGTCTCTTCTCCCCCACTGCTGCCTCAAACTCAGCACCGCTCTCATCGCCCTCCTCTGCTTTCACAGCCGCTCCCCCTCCCCACTGCAAGCCACTGAGAAGGAGAAGGAGAGTCCTACGGAGCTGGCAGAGAGGTGCCTGCGGGAGCTGCTGGGCCGAGCGGCGTACGGCAACATCAAGAACGCCATCAAGCCCGTCCTCATGTAAGTCATGCATTTGCCATAAGGGAAACTGAGGCACGGGGAAACAGCCAATGCAGGCCAGAGCTAGGGTGAAGGAATGGACTCCTCTGGCTCCCCTCAGCCTGGTAGTGGAGATGGGGACTGCGTTTCAGGCTGAGCTCTCACTTTTGGATGCAGTGAAGAAGATGGCATGGGATAGATAGCTGTCATTGAGAAAAGTCACTCCAGCAAGGGGTTTGTGTACCTGCCCTCTGCTGCAGTGTTAGATCCTTGCTGCTTATGGCCATCTCTGGTGCTTGCTTTGCACCCCTGCAGGCTTTGGGGGACTGACAGTTACTTTTCCCTCCATTTCCATCTCTTCTCCAGCCACCTGGATAACCACTCGCTTTGGGAGCCGAAGATCTTTGCCACGTGCTGCTTCAGGATCATCATGTATTCAATCCAGGTAGGGAACTGGCGGGACTCTGAGTGGGGGCACACGTGCACGCTTGGGAGTGCTTGCATCTGCCACCATGACTGGGCTGAGTCAGAGCAGCTGCCACTGCATTGCCGCATCCCAGCAGTGCTCAGTTCGAGCGCTCACCGAGTGTGCCCCGAAGTGGCTGGAGACAGGCAGAGTCCATGTGGATGGCAGTGTGGGCTGGGGGCCCCGTGGGTGTACAGGGAAGTGGCTGGTAGGTGTTAGTTAGCTTGGCTCTGTGCCAGCTGTGTGTGGTGTGGGATACTGATCATGGAGCAATTCCCTCCCTTTCAGTGGAAAGCAGAGCCCTGCTGGATCAGACAGGCTGTGAAACCCTCCAGAGGAAGCAGTTGGGCTCCAGTGGAAAGCTGCGTCTTTCAGATCACTGCTGTGTAAATCAGTCTGAGCTCTTCATTCCTGCAGAAAAGGAGAGGGGCTGTCAGGGGTGAAACATGCCCCAGGCAAACCAGGCATTGTTACAGTGCCTGCAGCCCAGCATCCCTGTCCTTAGACCTGGGGATGCTCAGAGACAGACCCTGCCAGGCTCTTCCTCCTGATAGGACAAGGGGGAATGGATTTAAGGTGAAAGAGGACAGATTGAGATGAGATCTTAGGCAGAAGTTCTTCCCTATGAGGGTGGTGAGACCTTGGCACAGGGTGCCCAGAGAAGCTGTGGCTGCCCCATCCCTGGCAGTGTTCAGGTCCAGGCTGGACGGGGCTTGGAGCAACCTGGTCTAGTGGAAGGTGTCCCTGCCCATGGCAGGGGTTTGGAGTTAGATTGGCTTTAAGATCCCATCCAACCCAAACCATTCTGGGATTCTACAATTCCATGATTCCTTTCTCACTGCGGGCCTTGGAAATGCAGTTTAGGTAAATCCCAAAGAGATGGGAAAATGTCCGTCCTTTCTTCTTTCACATGGATCTCAATGCAGCTCTGTTTGCATGAGTCCCTGCGTGCTGTAGGGCATGGTGCTGCCTCTCACCCTGCTCCCACTCTGCTGAGGGTGCCTCAGACCTGTTGTCCTATTTCGTACCTTTGGGAGTTTGCTTCACTTTTGGATTCAGCCAAGCCATGGCTCTGCTTGGAGAACTCTTACAGTGAAAAGCAGATCACCACCCCCTGTTCTCCTTTCTTGTTTTTAATCTTGTAAACTGCCTAAACCCCTTTACACTGCTACTAGATGTTATAAAATCCTGTTAATGCATACTGGAGGTGTAGGGTCACGATAACTTGAAGTATAGATGTGTTTGGGAAACCCTGGCAAAAGCAAGTCCTTTCTCTCTGAAATCCCTGGGATTAATTGTCACAATTTCCTTAGATCTGTACAGCTCTTTAGATGCTTTTTCCTGTGCAACTTGCTCCAGGCTCTTGCTCAGTTATGTAAAACAGGCTGCTTCCAGCAGCCTCCTCTCATTTTGCATCTGGAGCTGTCTTGGAAAGAGCCAGGCAGGGACTTGGTGCAGTTGGGTGCATGTGCAGGATCCATCCCTGATAGCAGTGAGGGTTACAGAAACAGGCTGTCACCTCGTGCATGTGGCACCCATGCTGACATTCACACCCTCTTTCCAGCCACAGCATTCCCACCTCGTGATCCAGCAGCTCCTGGGACACCTGGATGCCAACAGCAAGAGCGCAGCCACCGTGCGTGCGGGCATCGTCGAGGTCCTTTCAGAGGCAGCGGTGATTGCAGCCTCCGGATCTGTTGGTAAGTAGATACATTTATTCTCTCCATCCACCTCTTCACCCTTTTATTGCAGTGGGAATTGTGAAGGGGTGCCAGAGGTTTGGGCTGGGTTCTGGGTTGCCCCAGGTGTGAGCTGGTAATGGGGGATCCTGGAACATGCAGGAATGCTGGATCAGTGCCATTTCAGCACTCCTGAGAGCAGCACCCATGCCCACATGCAGCGACCTAAACCTAGAGGGCTGGCTGCAATGGCAGCCTTTGTGACAGGAGGAAAAGAGGTTTTCAGGGCTTGCTGTGAATATGGTGAGAGTGCTCCTGGAAGGACATTTCTCTGTTGTCTTGACTGAGGAAGGTGGTGGGGGTTAGAAGTCACTGTGTGTGTGACCAAACTGTTTTTCAACCTGCTTATGGGGTGTTGGGATGCATAAACCATGCTGTTCTGGGGGAAACAGCCTCCATCTCCATGGGGAAAACTTCTGCTCTCCTCTAGTGCTGCTCCATTGTCTTTTCTCTCTCACCACCACAGGCCCCACGGTGCTGGAGGTGTTTAACACCCTGCTGAGGCAGCTAAGGCTCAGCATTGACTATGCACTGACAGGGAGCTATGACTGCGGTGCTGGTGTCAGCACCAAGATCATCAAAGAGCATGAGGAGAGGATGTTCCAGGAGGCCGTCATTAAAACCATAGGTGGGTGTCCTGCAGTGCCCCACGAAGGTGCTGATGGGTGGCCCCGTGTAGTAGGTTTCTGCCTTGAGCATCTGCAGGATTATCTGGGATGAAACAAAGTCACTCTCATGCTAAAAGAGGTGATGGAAATCAGATTTCTCTGTGGTGTGTGCTGCAAGTGTGGTGGTGTGTTATCAGCAGGTGGCATTGCAACCCCAATCATCCCCAGCAGAGCTGCTGTGTGCGGCCAGAGTCCTGTTTCTCCATGGGCAGGAGACCCTGAGGAAGGGAGGGAAAGAGAGCAGGTGTCAGTTTGCTACAGCTGCTGTGGATGGGGATGCACCCCAAAAGAGAAGGGGCAAAGGCAGGGCTTGGCATCTCACAGCCTCACCCTGCCTCAGCCTGGGGCTGCCACACCTGTGAGGTGTTATTATGGGCCCTGAATCACCCTGAAGGTAAATCTGCCTGCGAGTGCCACATCCAGGCAAGCCTTGTCCTATACCAATCGGGCTATAGGGTCTGGCAGCTGGCTTGGAGCAGGGCAGGCAGGCAGGCAGACCCTATGTCACTGTGTCCTCCTGAGGATGGTGGGTTGTGCCTCACACATTGTCAGCTTGCTCTTGTCCCCACAGGGTCCTTCGCCAGCACACTGCCCACCTACCAGCAGTCTGAGGTGATGGTCTTCATCATGAACAAGGTGCCACTACCCTCCACACAGCAGTCCATTGAGGCTGGCAAAGCTGGGTGAGAACAGATGCCTTCTTCCCTTCTTATTCTACCCCCTGCCCTGCTTTTTCTGCCGCTGTTCTGTGTTAGGGCTTCAAACACCTTGCTGAAAGTGCTGGGGAGCTCCTGAAGCTGTTCCCACCTTGAGATGGTCTTTGGGGACAGAGTGGGATTTGGGCATGTTATTGGAAAGGCCGAGCATTGAGAGCTTCCCTAAGGGGAAGCTGAGCAAGGGAAGCTGAGCAGCGTTGCGATTCCTGTTTCAAATGCTTTGCTGTCTGCTGCAAATATGATGACAAATGCCCCTTGAAACACCAGAGCATCAAGGGGGAAAGATGTCTGCAGGCAGTTATGCTGCATGAACTCTGCATCCCTTCAGGTACCTGCTGTTGGGGGCTCCATCCAGAACTAGCCAGGAACTGAAAATAACATTCAGGGGAGTCACTTCAGATGTCTCAGGGCAGTGGGGTAGCTGCTGGTGAGTGGGGGCTGCCTGTGGCTTTTGAGAAGCTTGAGTATGGGTTTATGGGACCAGCTGCTCATCCCTGCCTCCAGCCACTGGTGTGTTGTGGCCCCTTTGAGCTGCCTCAGAGCTTTTATTAGCACTGAGCGGGAGGTGATATTTATACCCAGCAGCGGAGAAAGAGGAGGAAGGGAAAACACCCAAACAACAGAATTGCTTAAGAAGTGTAGGAACAGACCATGAGAGCTATTTGGAGCAGGGTGTCAGCACTGAAACATGTAGGTAAGGAGCAAACAGATTTTCATGCTATATTTATCTTCTAAGTATGGTCAGGCTCTTCCCACTTGTCTCTGATGGGAGAGAGACTTTGCTGGCTGATAGGAGAGACGCTCTGCTCCTCACTCACATGGAGGTGATTCCTGACTCCTGGATTCAATCCCGATTCACATGGTGGGAGACACAGTAGGTGCTGGGTGCCATTCAGCCAGGGCAGCTTTCCTTGCTGCAGGAGCAGAATTGGGCTCATAGCCCCAGGGTGGCAGTCACTTCTCAGTACCAGGCTGGCTGTGCCAGGCTGTTTGTCACTGCTCCTTTGTCAGCTCATGAGCTTCCTTCAGGAGAGCCTTTAAATCTCATCTGACACTGTGTGAAGGATGGTGCTTGCTCTGCATGTGAACCAGGAGTTTGCAGACGAGGGGCAGCCTTCAGCTCAGCTTACAGGGATGCTGCTCTTTGTGGTGTAGCTCAGTCCCTAAGCAGAGATAGGCAGCACAAGCAGTGTGTTTTGGGGCAGGCTGGAAATCCCTTGGGAGCTCCCTGTGTGTCCCCCAGGGCTAGGAAAGGCTGAGTTCAGGCAGTAAAAAAGTCAAGATTTCCTCTTTTTTGCATAACCCGCTCTATGCTACTGAAGCAGAAGTGTGGGTCGTAAGAGATGGGAGCAAGGAATAGGGGTACCTCCGTGAACAGGAGAGTCTGGACTTCATCTCACCAATTTGCAGCTGCTTTAAAGTAAGGAGCCTGTTCAAAACCAGTGCCTGGTGTTCCTTAGGAGTCACTGTGGGATGGGGATGGGGACATCCAGATCTCAGCTCATCATCCTGAGCTCAGCTTGTGCCTGCTCGGAGATGCGAGTGCTGCCTTGTTTCTGATGCCTATGGCAGGATGAGGACTTTGGTATTCATCATTTCATTGACAGTCTTTTGCTGGCTGTTAAATCTGGAGCTCATCTGCTAGAGACCTTTACGGCACAGCTCTTTGTGGTGGTGACTCTTAGGAAACTGGTCCTGCCCTTTCTGAGGGTTTTCCACCCTTGTATGGAAGGAGGGTTGTCTTGTTTTCATTTGGATTTACCATTTCTTTCCTCTCTCCATGGCAGGGAGAATCGGAATCGGCTGACACAGATAATGCTCCTAAAGTCCCTGCTCCAGGTACGACTCTGTCACTAGCCCTGCAGGTGCATCCCTCCCTCGCAAGACCTGTGGGCTCTCACCTGCTGGCATGGCAGCAGAGAGGGACTTTTTGCGAGGACCTGGAGGGATAGAACAAAGGGGGGTGGATTTAAACTGAAAGAGGGTAACCTTCTGAAGTGACACTGTCACATTGCCACCATTTTTCTTTGATGCTTGCAGGTCTCTGTGGGCTTCCAGTGCAGCAACATGCTCACGGCACTTCCCAGTGTTTTCCTGGACAGGCTGCTCTCTGCAGCCCTCATGGAGGATGCTGAGATCCGCCTCTTTGTCCTCGAGATCCTCATCAGCTTCATCGATCGTCACGGGAACCGGCAGAAGTTCTCCACCATCAGGTATGTCCTGGGGACTCCTCAACAGGGCTGGGACCTGCAGACCCTGCAGAGCAGGCCTGGGAGGAGATCTGCTGGGCTGGGAGCACTGGCAGGGTTATTACTAAATCTGGTATCAGTTCTGGGATAGTTTAATACTGCACAAGAGCCATATGGATGAGGTATGCCCATATGTGAGAGGCTGTGCCCATAGGGACATGAGACCACACTGCTGAAAGTAACTGGTTAATCAGTGGTCTCAGGAGGTTGTGCAGGTACAGTGGTACAATGGCTGCATTGCATTGCCATGGATAGGTCTGCTGGGCACTCATGTTGTCCATGCTGTGTTACCTTGGAGGAAGGTGACTGTAATCCCAGATAGAAACATCTCTATGGGTTTTGCTGTGGTTCTGCTAACCCGCTTTGCTTGCACACTTCTTTGTCAACTTGCTTTTGTGTTCCTGAGTGCCACTGCCTCGAAATCCTGTGGTGATTTGGCTCAGTACTCCTGAATATCTGAATTGCTCAAATGGGTTGTAACAGACACCACTGGCTTTTTAACAGCTCATTCCTGACCAGCAGCTCTGTAGGGGTGCAGGAATTGCACCTCTTCCCTCCGGTGTCTGAGGTTTTCCTTTCGCTTGGCCTTTTCTTGCAGCACCATCAGCGACATCTCGATCCTGAAGCTGAAAGTGGACAAGTGCTCACGTCAGGATACTGTCTTCATGAAGAAGGTAGTGTCAGGGTCTGGATCAAGCTGTCCTTGTGCAGACCAGGCCAAGGACTGTGCCTCTGTTTCCTCAAGTCACACTGAGTCTTTGGAGTACCATGATGCCTCTAAACCTGAGGATGTCCCTGGGAAAAGCCAGTGGGATTCAATCTCTCTCAGTGCTTCACGTGTGGGCCTTTCTAGACTCCTAAATCAGCTATTTGCCCCAAGGAATGAGTACCCCAGGATGTGCTGGTATCCCAAAAGCTATTTAGCAAGTAGCTTTCAAAGTTGCCTGACTTTATTCCTCCCACTGTCTCCTTAAAACACTTCCAGCAAAACTCTCTGGAGCTCATCTAGGCAAGGTGGGATCAGTTTATTTCCTGGCACACAGTGGGGAGCAACAACGCAGCCCCCAAACCAAAAACTGTTACAGAGCTGAGTTTCCCTTACACCAGTGTGTGCCCTGCTCTGTCCCATGTCTTGCTGTCAAGCAGTGTGTTTTAGCTTTTGTTTCTCTGCTGTAGCCTGAGCGTTCCTCTAATGCTTCTGCAGCAGAGGCCTCCTTTCCCTGGCCGTGGTGCCATGAGTGTTCTGTGCCTGCCCTGGGCTCTGCTCTTGGACCTGCTGGTGGCTCTTCCCCATCAGGGTCCAGCATCAGATGGTAAAATACCACCTGATAGTCACACCCTGGTGACCAGAGGAGCTCTGCTCCCTCCTGTGTGGATGGAGGCTCCTTTGCTGGGCCCTGCTGCTCTTCTTGCTCTGTGTTGATGGAAATGTTGCTCACAGGGGATGCTCAGGGGCTGACCACATCCATCCATATCCCCACAGCATGGCCAGCAGCTCTACCGGCACATCTACCTGATCTGCAAGGAGGAGAGCAACGTGCAGGCTCACTATGAGGCTCTTTACAGCATGCTGATGCTCATTAGCATTGAGCTGGCTAACGAGGAGGTCATGGTGGACCTCATCCGCTTGGTGCTGGCAGTGCAGGTGGGTAGGGGAGCTGGGTGTGCTGCTGGCACTTGGCACTGTTGAGGTGGGCAGGCTGGGATGTGATGGGAAGGAGGGGGCCTCTGGGAGGAGATTGTTTGGGAGTTGAGGTCTCTGAGGAAGCACCTCATCTGCTGTAAGTGTTTCCTACCATGGGTCAGCCCAACACACTGGGGAGAGACTCAGTCACCTTGCCCAGGCCTCTGAAACACTGCAAAACTCAAGCTCCAAAAGCTGGGATGTTTGCAGGGCAGGTGATGCTGCAAGGCGGATGGGAATGGTGCTGGGACCTTGTTCATCTGTATCTCATCATGGGACTGTGTCTCTGCTGCAGGAGATTGCCCAGATCAACGAGGATAACTTGACAGTGTACAACCGCTGTGCACTCTTTGCCCTTGGTGCAGCTTACCTGAACCTCATCAGCCAGCTCACCACCGTGCCCACCTTCTGCCAGCACATCCATGAGGTGCGAGGGAGGGTCTGGGGACAGGGCTGTAGCCTTGTCTGCAGCAGCTCTGGCATTGACTGTACAAGCCACCCCTGGGTTTGAGCTTGGCTCCTTGCTTGTCTTCTGCAGGTCATCCAGATGCGGCAGAAGGAAGCTCCCTATCTACTCCCTGAAGACGTGTTTGTGGAGAGACCCAGGTATGAGCCTTGAAGATACCTTCTTCCCCAGTGGTGAGGTCCCTTACAGAGACACGGACCTCAGTAAGCATCACTGCTCTCTTGACACATTCACTGTCTCAGGGTGGTCCTCCTGTTGTGGTGGGCTGAGAGCCCTTCAGGGCCTCTGGCTTTGTGCTGGTGTGTGCAGAAATAGTGTGATGTACCTGGCTGTGCTGGAGCTAAGTGAAATCATGGAAGCTCTCTGTTCCTGACCCAAAGGGACTAGAAACCCCACTGGCACTATTCCCTAGCAGGAGAGATGCTGCCATCTTCATTTTTCTCTTATCTCCACAGGCTGAGCAAGAGCCTTGACCGCCTGGGCCCAGAGGTCTTCTTCTGGCAGAGCAAGATCAGTGAGGTGCTGGGAGGCAGTGGCTACAACTCAGACAGGCTCAGCACACCCTATGTTCCCCAGCTGACAGGTATGCAGTACCCTGGGGCATCCTGGAGAAATGGGATGAAACTGGTCCCTTGCTCTGCACAGTTACAGGGATGTAAAGTTTTTGTCCTACACCTGGCCGCGTTGTTTTTTGGTGCTCTATTAAAGATGGAACCTTGGGGAAACTGAGGCACGAAGCGGTTAATTGGAGCTTCTTGGGGTTGTGACATTCACAGCTGGCTGGGCAGAAGGAGCCATGAGCCCTGCTGGGCTTGGCTCACTCCTCAGTCCTGCTGGTTTGGATAAACTCGTGTGAATGGCTTAGATGGACGGGTACCCTGGGGAGGAGACGTGAGGCTGTGTTTTCTGGGGGCTGCCTGTGCTCACCCTGCTGGCCATGGAGAAGCTGCAATTAGCTCTTCTGCCCTTTCTCCTCAGATGAAGATCGCTTGTCCAAGAGGAAGAGCATTGGTGAGACCATTTCCCTTCAGGTCGAGGTGGAGTCGAGGAACAGTCCTGAGCGAGAGCAGGTACCATGTTACACCAGAGCTGCAGAGGCTGCCTTGTCCCGTCAGCACTCTGTGCTTTCAGCAGCCTGGCAGCATGAGGTTAAGTCCTCTCTAATTCATCATTTGGCTGCGTATGTAATTGCTCCTGTGGCTGTGAGTACAGGAGCCCATAACTGAGCCCTGGCCTGTCTGGCAGTGAATGGGGTCAGAAAATAACCAGCTCCTCCCGATGCTCCCTCCAGGTACTGACAGATCCCAGCCTGCAAGGTTTGCTACATAGCAGGAAGGGTTATCCACTGCTGCTTGGGTGGCAAATTTATTTCCCTTCTTTATTTCCTAGCATATTTCTTAGCAACAGGAGCTGTCAGTGAGGTGTAAGGCCTGGCTAGTCCAGCCTGAAAAAAACCACTTTAAAAGCACAGCTTGCTAGGAAAGAGATCCCTGATCTTTAAGGATAGACTCTTTTGGTGCAAGAATATAGACTGGGATGTTGGTTCTGGGTTGCTGTGATCCCAAAACAGTGTCCTGTGCTGTGTGTTGAGCCTCATCTGCTTCTCCCCTTGCTTTAGAGAGCACCAGCAGAAGAAATCACATATGAGACGCTAAAGAAGGCAATAGGTAAGGGGGAGAACCAATGCGATAAGGAGAGGTGGAGGCTCGCATGGTGTGTGTGTGTGTGTATGGGTACCATCGCCCCCCATCTGTGTGTGTATGCCACACATGGATGAATCTCCTTGGCAGAATTGCACCCGGACTGCAGGTCAGCCAGGCAGCCTCATAGCTCTGCCTGGCCCTGGTGGTGTCCCTGGGAGAGGCTGGTCCCAAAGCCACATGGTGGAGGCCCTCTCCTTGGCTTTCCAGTGATGCCCAAACCCATACTGTCTGCTGGGGAGGTGGGGATGCGGTGGTCCTTGTGGGTGAGGAGCAGCTGGGAGCCATCTCCCCTCTGCTTCAGTAGACAGTGTCGCTGTGGAGGAGCAGGAGCGGGAACGGAGGCGGCAAGTGGTGGAGAAATTCCAGAAAGCCCCATTTGAGGAGATCGCTGCCCACTGCGGTGCTCGGGTGAGTGGGGACCGGGGCACGCTGCATCTCTGTGGCTCCTCTGCTTGGGAGAGGAGGACAGTGCCAATGTGGCTCTGCCTTTTGCCAGGCCACCTTCTCCCTGCCGTGACTGGGGTGTTTGTCCCGTTTGCATTACTGTGGTACCTGGGTACAGCTGCACTAATGGAGCCTCTGTGTCTGTGTTACAGGCGACGCTGCTGCAGAGCAAACTCAACCAGATCTTCGAGATCACCATACGGTGAGTTGGGGTGACAGCCAAGGATGCTGTGCCAAGTGTGGGGTTCTTGACCACAAGGCCAGCGCTGGCTTTGAGGCAATGGGAGCTACTTGTGTTCCTTATCAAGGAGGCTTATGTGCTAGGGAAGGGTGCTAGCCTGGGGTTGGCAAGAGGGGACAAGGGCTGCTTTGGTTTGTTTGCCTCAGTTCCCTTCTGCTAAGGTGGTGCTGTGGAGACCTGCAATGCTGCAGGAATGCACATTGTCTGCACAAGCTTTGCTTCCTCACCAAACCTCTCTATAAGCCACTTCCACCTCTTGTGTTTCAGGCCACCACCAAGTCCCTCCGGCACCATCACAGCTGCCTATGGCCAGCCCCAAAACCACTCCATCCCGGTGTACGAGATGAAGTTCCCAGACCTGTGCGTGTACTGAAGGTGGCCGCGCTGGTAGGGCAGAGCCACCGCTGCACAGCTCGCACCAAAGGACCTCTCGGGGAGAGACTGCTGACCCTGCGGGGAGCACATCCTCCTGCAGGACGGGTGGGGACACGGGCTCTGAGGCCACCCCTCAGATTTGTTGGCACCACAAACCCGTCTCCCGTACTTTATTCTGTGCCCATGTTTCACAGCAGTTGGTGGTGCAGGAGGCAGGAGGTGGGTATTTGCTGTGACCTCCATCGCTGGTTTCCGTTGTCGGGAAGGGGAGAGGAGATGCTCTGGCTCCGAGCAGAGCACGTTTTTCATGTACATCTTCCTGGCATAAAGCAAACCTGTTCTCTGGGGGAATCCCTCCCCACATCATCTGTCAGCCATGTCAAGAGCCCCTGGCAAGGGGCAGGGCTGAAGCTGGAGGGTGGGAGACTGTGAAAGGCAGGAGCAGGGATGGGATGCAGTGTGCCCGAGCCAGGGGCAGCCACAAAACCAGAACCTGCCCGAGGTGGTGCCTGAGCAAGGTTGCTAGAGGGGATTCATCACCTGCATCCAGCTCCTGGCCTGTGAGTCTGGACCTTCCCCTAGGCACATGGGTCATTCCCCTGGGTACCTCACTGTGCCCTGATGCCCTGGACAAAGGGATTGCCTGGTGCAGCATGAGGGTGGCGATTGCCGCATCCCGGTGCAGGGCCACACAGCAGCCTGGCTGGTCCCAGGTCACCTGAAAACACAATTTCTTTGGGAAAACCCCCTTTTTCTTTTCTTTTGGCAAAATCCATACTGGCCATGTCCCTCGCCCTGGTCACAACCGGGCTGCACCTGCGGAGCCAGTGGGACTGGGGGACCCGGGGCAGTGACACAAGGCAGGAGCAACCACCGTGCTGGGGACTATTAAACACATTAACCCCTTGTTTTCCTACTTTTGGGTTGGGTTTTCACAGTTTTATGATTCCTGTCTCAAAGGATTGCTGAATTATTCTTATCAGCAGAACACTTTGACAAAGCCCAATCTTCAATCACCTGAGCCATAATCACGAAGGCACCCCAGTGTTGTGAGAAATATCTGCGACAAGAGGCACTTTAGAGGGTCCCCCCTCCAGGCCCTGCATCGTGCCTCTTGCTGTGCAATAGGATAGAAGTGGATTTGGGCTGGAGGGAGATGAGGCCCCATACTTGAGAGTTTTGCTTTTGACACATGTGGTTGAAAATTCTGCATCCTACCAAACCAAAAGTGGAAGGTGAAGATGGTAAGGATGGGGAGGAAAGGTCATTTAGGGGGTATTAGTCACTCACAGGATCTGTCTTGCTCTCAAATGTCGGTGCATTAAGGTGAGCTTGGGCACGCTTTGCAGTCTGGGGGGGGTCTTTCCTGCCAGCTCGGGCATTGCTTTCCCCTCCGGCTGGACACGCTGCTTCTGCATTTGCCACACAAAGAGACACAGAAGGATCTAAAGCTGGAGACATGGGAGCTGCTTCTGCATGTGGTGGAGGGACTCAGGTAAACGCAGCTGCTGGGTTGCTTCAGCCACAACCTGTTTCTCTGCCACCTCTCTGCAGAGCTTCAGGCTGTTGTTTTAAGCTGTAATTACACATTACCATCCCCTTTTCTTTCCTCAGTGGCAGATACAGCTCATGATTGCCCCGAGGTCACCGCTTGTTTGTGTGGTCCTGCTTTAATCTGGGTTTAGGAAATGATCTAGCTTAAGAGGACAGGAAAAAAACAGGCTGGATCACAGCACTGCCTGTGCCAGCCCTGTCCAGTGCCCAAGGCTCTCCCCTTGCTGCTGCTTCTCCTCAGTGTCCCAGTGTGTCTCAGTCCCCTGTTCCTGAGCCCTTTTTCCTCTCTGGGTCATAGCTGGTCCTGCTGAAGCTTGAGTTTTGGCTGGGGCAGGTTTTGGGGCGAGCAGCAGGAACACAAAGCTGGCTGCTTGGGGAGGAACCTTTTGCTCCTGTGGCTGTTCCCATCTTTTATCAAAACACAATAGGCAAAGCAACCCCCAAATTTGTGTCAGTGTGGAAAAAACACCCCCAAACCTCTTCAAAACCACAAAGAAGGTGGGAAAATGAGCACCAGGTTTGCTCAGGCTGAAGGAAGGGAACCACAGGGCACATCTCGGGGTGCCCATTGCCCCGAGGGGCAGAAAATACCCCTGGCCTCTGCTCTGAGGAGCTCTCCTGGGTTATCCCCTGCACAGCACCCTCCTGTCCCTCCACTCCCAGTGCTTCTCCCTTGTCCGCTCTGTGGGACCCTGCAGCAGGGCCGGGGCCATCACCTCCTGGCTGGCTGCACCCCCTGGCATGTCTCACCATGTCCCCTCCACGTTTTGGGACCCAAACTCCACCTGTAAATGCCCCCCCCACCATGGTGTAAGTGACCTGTTTGTACATCACGTTTAGTTTAGATACTTGTGTGCGTATAGATGACAAAGTATATTTCTATGCAGTGCATGTGTGCGTTTCCATCTCTGTATTTTGGAGCACTGTGGCGTTCCCGTGTGTAGCCAAGAGCAGGGGAGGAGAAGGCAGGTCAAAGGGCCGTTGGTATTTTCAGACACACCATCTTAATGCCCTTTTCCAATAAACGTTGATGTTGCCACCTCTGGGGCTCTGCTGTCCTGGCGTGTCTCTGGAAGAGGATACACGGGTGGCTGCTCAGGGCTGGAGAAGGGAAGGCATGGGGTGAGGAGGAGGATGGTCGTGCCTATGGAGAAGCTTCCTTCCCCCAGCTCTGTGCCCAACTCAAACTGGCCTTCATCCTTATCATCCTTTATAATTATTTCCTCATTTTTTCCCCAGTCTTACAGAAGCTCCCTGCAATGATGGGGCTGTGGAGAAAGGTCCTGGGTTGCTGCTCATGGTGCGTGTGTCTGAATGTGAACAAACCGCGTTTGAGAGTCAAAATGGGAATTAAACCACCCGGATGGATATTTCAAGAGCCAAACCGTGCACTGAGAGCACTGTGCCATGTGCAAGCTGCTCCTGCACCATTACAGACTGACCTGGGCCATCTCTTAGCTAAGGAGTGGGGGGAAATGCCAGCATGAGCCCTGTTTTCATAGAATCATAGAATCACAGAAGGGTTTTGGTTCAAGGAACCCTAAAGCTCATCCAGTTCCAACCCCCTGCCACAGGCAGGGACACCTTCCACTAGACCAGGTTGCTCCAAGCCCCTGTGTCCAACCTGGCCTTGAACACTGCCAGGGATGGGGCAGCCACAGCTTCTCTGGGCAACCTGTGCCAGGGCCTCACCACCCTCACAGGGAAGAACTTCTGCCTAAGAGCTCATCTCAGTCTCCCCTCTGTCAGGTTAAAGCCATTTCCCCTTGTCCTGTCCCCACAGGCCCTTGTCAAAAGCCCCTCTCCAGCTTTCTTGTCAGCCCCTTTAGGCACTGGAAGCTGCTCTAAGGTCTCCCTGGAGCCTTCTCTTCCCCAGGCTGAACAAGCCCAGCTCTCTCAGCGTGTCTCCATAGCAGAGGTGCTCCAGACCTCGGAGCATCTTTGAGATCAGTGTTCTGATACTAATGCTGGTGGTTTGCTGACTGGGAAGTATGGAAAAGGGGGAAGGGACCTGGTTATGCTTTGGCAGCAGTGAAGTTTTCCGTGGAACTTTGTGTGCGGTTTTGGTCCCTGCTGTACAAGATGTGGAAAGGCTGGAGAAGGTCCAGAGAAGGGCACAAAGATGATCCAAGCACTGGGCAACCATGTGAGAAAAGGCTGAGAGAGCTGAGCTTGTTCAGCCTGGAGAAGATAAGGCTCGGGGGAGACTTTATCCCCATGTTCCAGTGTTTAAAGGGTGGCTACAAAGAAGACAGAGACTCCCTTTTTATATGAGTCCCATGGAAAAGACGAGGGGCAATGGGCACAAGTTGCCCTTGGGAGATTCCAGCGGGACACAGGAGGAAAATTGTTCACCATGAGAACAATCATCCACTGCAGTAATTTCCCCAGGAAAGCGGTGACTCCCCAGCACTGGACACTGTTCATCTCCGCCTGGACAAGGTGCTGGGACATCCAGTCTAGGTCATGCTTTGCCTAGAAAGGCTGGACCAGATGATCCTTGAGATCCCCCCCAGCCTGGGATTCTATGGTTTTCTGGTACCCAGGCTCTTCATCATTATCATCAACTGGGGAACTAATGGCTTTACCTGGGAGGTGGGTGCTGGGGAAGCCCAGCTCAGTGACTTTGCTCCTTGTGGCAGCACCCTGAGGATGCTGCATTGCTGCCAGCAAACGCTGCCATCACATCAGTGTGGGGCTCCTCTCTGGGATCAACGCACTCTGCTGGGGTGAGCAGCCCCAGTGCCTGCTCTGGCCTTGTCAGAGCCCCACAGCCAGCTCCTGTGAAGCTCCCAAGCTGGAGGTGCAAGGTTGTTCTTTCCCCCTCTCCCCAAATCCCGCTCCATATTCCCAGCCATGTCTCTTCACCCCACAGCTGCAGGTGTTTGCTTTGCAGTTATTTTTCCCACCCCTTTGCCCTCCCCAGAGACACTGCTGACACCTGGTTAGCTTGCAAAAAACCAATGTATTATTATTTTTATCATTATTGTTTTAATCCATCATTTACAGTATTGTACAGCTCAGTGAGGATACCAGAACCACCCGGTGTGCTCCGAACTGGGCATCATCCCTGCTCCCTGCGCGTGTCCAATGGGCGCAGCGAAGCAGTGGATGGCTGTATCCCTAACCTGTTCCCACCCAGCAGGACCCGGGAGCAGACCCCTTGGGAGTACTACTTAAGAAGGACACAACGAGTGATCTCTAAGTGAAACACATGCCAGCGGGACACTAAAGCTATGGGATGGGGTTTGGGACGCCCCTCGGGCTCTCCCCCATCACTGCCCCTTCTTGTAGGCGCTCTTGATGATGGCGTTTTTGAAGAGAGTCACTAGAGGGGTCTGGCTGTGCTCCGAGGTCATGAAGCCCCCATAGCGCTTGTCCTTCATGGGGGTGTGCCAGCGGAAGTGGTGCATGCGGTACGAGCCGCCGTTCTTCTTCTCCTCCTCCTGGCCTTCCTCCTCTTCCTCCTCAGGCGGTGCCCCTGTGCCGTCCAGCACCAGCTCCCGCCTGAACTCCAGCGGGTAGCTCTCAGCTGACTCTTCCTCCACCCCATTGGGGTAAACCTTGATGGGTCTCCTCTTGCGTCCCACTGGCTTTCCCCAGCGGAAGTGCTCCATGGAGTAGGAGCGTTTGCCTTCCTCCCGCTCCAGCCCGATTCCCTGCTCTTCCTCATGGCGGGACAGCGGGACGGCAGGCAGGGATGTTGAGGGTGGGTTGTCCCCCGTGGCCTCCTCCCGTTTGTGCCCCCCACCACTGCTGCTGTTCCTCCGGCCAAACTTGTTCCATCGGAAGTGGCTCATGACATACCTGCGGATGCTCTCGGAGAGGGGCTGGAGGTGCCCATTGCCCGGGTAGACGGGCGCCTCGGCTGACAGGTCGGCTCTACACACTGCAGCACACGCCTGCATGGGGGTGAGATGTGCAGGATGGGTTTGCAGGGGAGCTGCTTGCATGGAGCAGGACCTGTCACAAGATGGTTTCATGCCTGTGCCCTGCTGAGGTCCCCATGTGGGTCCCCACCACCCTCTGCAGCACCCTTGGGTGGAGGTAAAGCCAATATCTAAGCTGCTGGTTCATACAATAGGATGGTTTGGATTGGAAGGGACCTGAAAGCTCACCCAGTTCCAACTGCCATGGGCAGGGACACCTTCCACTAGACCAGGTTGCTCCAAGCCCAGTCCAACCTGGCCTTGAACACTGCCAG